GGAACGTATGTAACCATCCTCCGGACCATAGGACCATACTGTCCTGCTACCACCCGACGTCCTGATACAACAACATTCTGACAACTCGCTGGATATCTATAGTGGAGCGTGAACGTCGCAAGGCCGAGAAGGCGAAGAAGTTCGCCGAGAAGCAGGCCAAGGCCGCTGCTGCGAAGACTGCCGCCCCCAAGGCCGAGAAGAAGCCCAAGGTCGAGAAGGAGAAGACTACTGATGCGTACGACCCCAAGGTTATCGAGGCTGGCCGTTACGAATGGTGGGAGGAACGCGGCCTGTTCAAGCCCGAGTTCGGCTCGGACAACAAGGTCAAGCCTGAAGGTTACTTCGTCATTCCTATCCCTCCTCCCAATGTGACCGGTGCTCTGCACATGGGTCACGCCCTTACCAACGCCCTCCAAGACACCATGATTCGCTGGCAGCGCATGAAGGGCAAGACTACCCTGTGGCTGCCCGGTATGGACCACGCCGGTATCTCCACCCAGAGTGTCGTCGAGAAGATGCTCTGGAAGTTGGAGAAGAAGACCCGTCACGACCTGGGTCGTGAGGCTTTCCTCGAGCGCGTGTGGGACTGGAAGAAGGAATACCATGCCAACATCAAGAACGCCCTTCGCAGAGTCGGTGGTTCCTTCGACTGGACCCGCGAGGCCTTCACCATGGACCCCAACCTGTCCGCCGCCGTCACGGAGACTTTTGTTCGCCTCCACGAGGAGGGCATCATCTACCGTGCCAACCGCCTGGTTAACTGGTGTGTGGCTCTGAACACCTCTCTGTCCAACCTTGAAGTTGAGAACAAGGAGGTTGAGGGTCGTACTCTCCTCGACGTGCCGGGCTACGACAAGAAGATCGAGTTCGGTGTCTTGACCCACTTCTGCTACGAGGTCGATGTCGATGGTAAGACCGAGCGTATCGAGATCGCCACCACTCGTCCCGAGACCATGATCGGTGACAGTGGTATTGCTGTCCACCCCGACGACAAGCGCTACGCCCACTTGGTCGGCAAGAACGCTCGCCACCCCTTCGTTGACCGCTTGATGCCCATCGTTGCCGACAAGGATGTCGACCCCGAGTTCGGTACTGGTGCCGTCAAGATCACCCCCGCCCACGATTTCAACGATTTCAACCGTGGAAAGGCCCACAACCTCGAGTTCATCTCTGTGCTGAACGACGATGGTACCTTCAACAGCAAGGGTGGTCCCTTCGCTGGCATGAAGCGCTTCGACGCCCGTTACAAGGTCATCGAGATGCTGAAGGAGAAGGGGCTGTACGTCAAGTGGGAGAACAACCCCATGAAGATTCCTCGCTGCGCCAAGTCCAACGATGTTATCGAACCCATCCTCAAGCCCCAGTGGTGGATGAAGATGGAGAGTCTCGCCAAGCCCGCTCTCGAGGCCGTTGAGAAGGGCGAGATTGTCATCAAGCCCGAGTCTGCCGAGAAGAGCTACTACCGCTGGATGACCAACATCAACGACTGGTGTTTGTCCCGTCAGCTGTGGTGGGGTCACCAGGCTCCCGCCTACTTCGTTCAGATCGAGGGTGAGGAGAACGATGACAGCGATGGCGAGCGCTGGGTCACTGGCCGCACCGAGGAGGCTGCCCGGGAGAAGGCTGAAGCCAAGTTCCCTGGCAAGAAGTTCAGCTTGGTCCGGGATCCTGATGTCCTTGATACCTGGTTCTCTTCTGGACTGTGGCCGTTCTCGACCCTGGGCTGGCCCAACAAGACCCACGACCTGGAGAACCTGTACCCCACTTCCGTCTTGGAGACTGGTTGGGATATTCTGTTCTTCTGGGTTGCCAGAATGATCATGCTTGGTATTAAGATGACCGGCCAGGTTCCCTTCCGGGAGGTGTACTGCCACTCTCTGATCCGTGATTCCGAGGGCCGCAAGATGTCTAAGTCTCTGGGTAACGTTGTTGACCCTCTGGATGTCATGGAGGGTATCCAGCTCCAGGAACTCCACGCCAAGCTGCTCACCGGTAACCTCGCCGAGAAGGAAGTTGCTACTGCTACCAAGTACCAGAAGAAGGCTTTCCCCAAGGGTATTCCCGAGTGTGGTGCTGATGCTCTGCGCTTCGCCTTGGTTTCTTACACTACTGGCGGTACGTTTCACCCACTAATTTCAAAGCAAAAGAAACTCTGCTAACATCCATTATGTAGGTGGTGATATTGCGTTCGACGTCCAGGTCATTCACGGTTACCGCCGTTTCTGTAACAAGATCTACCAGGCCACAAAGTTCGTGCTTGGCAAGTTGGGCGACAACTTCAAGCCCAAGGCTACCCCTACCAAGACTGGCAAGGAGTCTCTGTCTGAGCGCTGGATTCTGCACAAGTTCAACCAGGCTGCCAAGGAGATGAACGAGACCCTGGAGCAGCGCGAGTTCTCCCAGTCTGCTCAGATCGTCTACCAGTACTGGTACAGCCAGCTCTGTGACGTCTTCATCGAGAACTCCAAGTTCCTCCTGGCAGAGGACGTCCCCGCTGAGGTGCAGGAGTCTGCCAAGCAGACCCTCTACACTGCACTGGAGGGTGCTCTGACCCTCATTCACCCCATGATGCCCTTCGTCACCGAGGAACTCTGGCAACGTCTCCCCCGCCGTGAGGGCGATACCACGATCTCGATCATGAAGGCCAAGTACCCCGAGTACACTCCTGAGTTCGATGACGTCGAGGCCGAGACTGCCTACGAGCTGATTCTCAACACCTCCAAGGCTGTCCGGTCCATCATGGCCCAGTATGAGATCAAGACCAAGGCCGATGTCGTCATCCAGACCTACGATGCCACCAGCCACAAGACGATCTCCGACGAGCTCACCAGCATCAAGTCGCTTGGTGGTAAGTTCCTGGGCGATCTCAGCGTGCTTGGCCCTGAGAACACCGTTCCCCCGTCGGGCTGCGTTGTGGCTCCTGTCAGCTCCCAGGCGGCCGTCTACCTCCGTGTGTCCAAGGAGGTGGCCCTTGAGCAGGAGCACAAGGCCAAGGCCAGCCTTGAGAAGGCGCGCGAGACTGTTGGTCGCCAGCAGAAGCTGATCAGCAGTGCTGGTTGGGAGAAGGCTAAGCCCGAGGTTCGCGAGGCCGAGCAGAAGAAGCTCCGTGATGCCGAGAGCGAGGCCGCTCGCTTGGAGGAGCAGATCCGCGAGTTTGAGAAGCTGCGGTTGGAGTAGATGCTCTGAGTTGATGGGCTTTGAGTAGATATCAGTGATACACATACAATCGGATTTAGACACCAAAATAACAGTTTTCTTTTTTGTTCATTTCGATGATTTGTATTGTATGTCTTGTAGTGGCTGCACGTGACCCGACCACACTCCCTTATTGGTAATGAATAGTAATTTCACATAACTTTCTTTCAAAGCACACATGTTCCACTACTATTAAAGAGAATATCTAAGCAAATAAGATAGGAATCGAAATATCCTAACTGGCAGGCAGGAGCATTGATGTTGGCGTGGAGACAATAAGCTTATCGATAAGCGATGCCAAGCCCCATCCGCCAAAAGTTTTTGCTCCGCCTTTTTTCATTTTCCGCAGCGAACTCCAGCATTCTCAATCTCCTCCACTGCCCTCAATCTCGCCCCATCCGCCAAGATGCTCCGAGAAGTGTACGTTGATACCATAATCTTCTACTACTTTGAATCCGGCTAATGGAACCTATGAAAACAGAAAACCCAAGAACGCGCGCACCGCGCGCATCCTCAAAGCCAAAGAGCCGCAACTTATCGAGCCCCCGAAACGGACTCTTCTCCTTCATGGATCGAAATGCCCTCAACCGCTGCACACGGTGCTGAAGACCTTCCACTCGCTGACTCGGCCCAACTCGGTTCTATTCCACAAGAAAAATGCCAACATCCACCCGTTCGAGAGCGTTGAGAGCCTGGAGTTTTTGGCCGACAAGAACGAGTGCGGTATGGTCGTGTTTGGAAGCAGCAACAAGAAGCGCCCTAACTGCCTGACGCTGGCCCGGGTGTTCAACTCCAAGATCCTGGATATGTGTGAGCTGTTGTTGTTGCCGAATCAGGACCAGACGGCTGGGTTGGAGAGTCTGCAGATTGGTATTGGCATGCGGCCGATGCTGTTGTTCTCGGGCAGTGCTTGGGATGATGAGACGTCGACGGCGCATGTTATGCTGAAGAGCATGTTTGTGGATATGTTCAAGGGAGAGACGAGTGATAAGATCGATGTTGAGGGATTGCAGTATGTGTTGATGATTGGCGCGGAGGAGGCCACGGACGGGCTGGCGCCTGTTGTGCACCTTCGCTGGTATAAGTTGCGGACGAAGCGCAGTGGGCATAAGTTGCCTCGTGTGGAGTTGGATGAGATTGGTCCTAAGTTTGACTTCAAGGTTGGACGTCTGCAGGAGGCGCCGAGGGAGGTCATGAAGGAGGCCATGAAGCAGGGTAAGAGGCCGAATGAGGAGATCAAGCTCAAGAAGAACATTGGATTGGATTCGATCGGTGATAAGATCGGTCGCGTGCATCTGGGTAAGCAGGATCTTAGCGGTCTGCAGACTCGTAAGATGAAGGGTTTGAAGCGTCGTGCCGGTGTCGAGTCGGATGACGAGGAGGGTGATGCCGATATGATGGATGTGGATGAGATCTCGGAGGATGAGGGACGCAAGCGGACGAAGACGGCCTGATGTGCTTGACCACACTACAGTTTATTCATTTCTTTGATGCGCATACTGTCGTCTACTATTGTCTATCTACTATCTAGTATAGTCTACCTCTCTATCGGCGTTCCGGGGGTTTGGATTTTACTCTTGACTGAGGTCAAAGCAGCTCGCTCGGACCGGTATTGTTGATATGTGATGATGTTTTAGACATGCAAAAAGTTGTTACTGTTCAAAATATATGATCAATAAGTCTTCATCTATTACTACTTTCTATTCCGGTGTGTCCACGTGACATGACGTTCGGCTCTCACATGCCGAGGATCTTTGGAGCTCGTCGCGGATCTGCTTCCCTTCCTTAAATGCCGACTTCCCTTTCCTTCCCCCCACCATCATTACTTGCCATGCTCCCCTGCTACTCCCTCCCTTATGAAGCAAGCAAGCAGTGCTCCTGGCGACTGCGGCTGCATACTCTCCCTGCTCTTGGAAGCTCACCGGACGTGAAATAAACTCCCTCATCCTACTACCTCCGCGCTCACTCACCGGATCCGTGCCGAGGTCCGACGACCAAACAAGGAAGAACAAGATGGATGCTCTAATGGTGAGTTATGAAGCCGGTTGTTCATTCCAACACAGCCAGACCTTAAAGCTTGATGTCAACTTGAGATAAATATGACATTGACCGCAATACAGTCCCGTCTTGACTCACTAGTCACAAACCCCGATCTTGCGCCGCTCTTAGCTCTCGTCAAAGGTGTGCGCAATGGCGCCGTCTACGGTGCCAAAGTGCGGTTTCCGCATGCTTTAGTGTATGCATATCATATCATACTACCCTTGTTATTATAGCAGGTTATGGTATAGGTCAGAGCTAATCAATTATGTGCTTTCTGTGCAGAATGATCTTCCTCTTCCGTTCCGGAACGTGAGTGCCCGCATTCCTCTTGTCCTTCTTTCCCCCCCCTCTCCATGGGTATTCCTCCCAGTCAGCACGGTTCAAGACCACGCAAGCTAAAAACAACGATGTTTCTTGATACAGAATTCGAGAAAAGGTCAAGCTCGTTCTTAAAGCTACCCGTCAACACGCTCGCAACCTAGCCACCTTCGCACTCATTTGGAAGGGCGTCATGCTCGCACTTCGCAACATAAACCCCACCACGGGCGGAAAGGAAGGCAGATACGATAGTTTCATGGCTGGGTTGGTAGGAGGGTACGTGGTCTTTGGAAGACACAAGACGAGCATTACGCAACAGGTAGGAATCCCACGACGCCGGGGCGATGATCAGAAGTTAACGGGAGTCCAGATCGTCATCTACGTCTTCGCGCGCGTTATGCTCGCAATGGCCAAACTGGCCGTCCGGCCCAACATGCATCCGCTGTCGTCGTCGATTACTCCGGATGCGAGATCCAGGATGGAGAGTAATGCGTGGCCAGTATTCGCAAGTTTGACGTGGGCCTTTGTCATGTATATTTTCCGGTGGCACCCAGATACCCTGATGTCGAGTTTGAGGAGCAGTATGGTGTATATGTACGTCTTCTTTATTGTTCTAGTGGCCTGCGAAAGGCCGTCTAAGTGGCTATATACTGACTCTTGCAGCTACGCCGACTCCGATCACTGGGATTCGTTCCGCAATTTCTTGATACACAACAAATAGAGGTGGTGGGGAGTGTATCCGTGCTAAGCACTTGGGTTTCCATTTTTGGTTTGTTATACGTTCATTGGGTTGTCACGTTCACGGGGCGTATAGATTGGTGTCAGGGCTGGCATTGTTTTATCTTCCCGTTCATGTCTTTGCTTAGGGGTATTCTTATTCAGAAACTCGAGCCCTCCCGCTGGCGGATAGGGGAGTTGGTAGTGATGGTGGTTGTGTGGATGTGGTGTATATGATAAGATAGAGAGAGATAGGTAACGGTGACTGTTGAGGTATCAGATTGTCATCCGGGTCATAACCCAAACACGAAGTAAATTCCATCTACAATACAGCTTAGATATGCAATTCGGAGAATAGACAAACTGCACGCACGTGCATAATCCTCCGACAGCCCAATATAACCCCCGTACCCCTACTGAGTATACCCTGATGCATGCTACACTAAACCCCCTCCATCCCCACCATATCCAAACACGCCCGACTCGGCCACGCGTTCTCCGTTCCCAGCATCCTGAAATACTCTATTACGCGCCATTGATCTCCTCGGCCGGTGAGGAACTGTGCCCCTGTAGTACAGCCATACACTGTTAGCTCCAGTAGGTTCATAGACCTAAGTTATATATCCGTTGACTATATCACAGTACCAGTACTTTACTTTGGATCCTAGGAAGGGGGTGGGGGGGAGGCATGATACTCACCCATAGCGACACAATGTGAGGCGTTGATCCGGCATCCGAAGTGATCGTTGGAGAAGGAGATTGCGCATAGGGCGTGGACGTGTGGGAGGATGGTAGTTTTGAGGTGGTGGTGGTATGTTAGGATGTTGTTCGTGTTGATGTTTGTGTCTGGGGTGGTGTGTGGTGGTGATGGGGGGAAGTGCGAGGCGAGGAGGATTTTGGCTGTGTGGTAGAATTGGAGACCGACGACTGTTTATATTCTCTCATTCGTAAGTTAATTATGGTTATCTGATTGGTTATGGGGAAGGAAAGCTAACATGTAGCTCTCTAGGATTTAGAGTGGACTAAGAAAAAGGGGAGGAAATGAACATACCATGCCACGAACAAAGCAACCTAATCACTGGGAACGAGTCTCGTTCCTGTTCCTCATAGTAATACGGCTCGAACGTATCAGGTACATTACTCCTCCATTCATCGATAAGCTCATCTAACTGAGCCCTCGGCAACAGACCCGGACACTCACGACCAAAGCAGTGATTGATCGCATGAACTAGCAGCCACGTCATCCTGTTCGCCCAGTCAGCGCCTGTCTCGGGGTAGCTTTCGTCCAATGGCCAGCTAGATACAGCGATCTTGGTGCTGCAGCGGCCGAGAATGGCCATGCGGATATCTGCCCGCACGTAGGAGTAAAAAGTCGCTTGTAGTAGACCCCCGGTGCGGGTGGATGCTTGCGCGGAGGGGTCAAGGTGCGCGAATGCTCCTGGGACTAGGTGGCATTGGCGGTCTATGTGGTATTCGTCATATTGCTCGGACATGCGGAGGATGGTGATAGTGGCGAGCACGGCTTCATCTTGAACTGCTGAGCCTACGTCATTGAGGATGGGGATGAGGAGGTTGATGCATGTGGATTGGTATTTGTCTTCTTCGGATGACAGCTCAGTCCGCTCGGGGTTGAGGAGGCGGAGGATGTGCGCGGAGCAGGCCATGATGGCTGTGTGGAGGAGGGTGCATTGTAGGGATAATCTGTGCTTAGGTGTTAGGTTTGTTGTCTCTGATAGAACAGGATGTGAGTGGATACCGAGGAACCGTATATGTGTAATGACGCTCAGGGCTGGTGACATCTAGCTGTTACATTGTCAGGGCATGATCGTACTATTAGTTGGTTATGTGTACCCAGGGTCCGATGTTCTGCACAAAGAACTGTAATAGTTCGCCCTCTATGGTCGTTAGTCTCCGAGGCGCATGTCTGTAGAAGAGACCGGGCCTGGGGATTGGTGCAGTCGGCGAAACTGTGTACGGGTTTCGTGGGAAGGATGGACTCGATGCTGCTTCTCCTGACTCAGAGGCAGGATAGCGAATGGCATTATGCGGTAGGGCTCGGTCGTCAGCGGGGAGAGCAGACACCGCCGGTTCATTCGGAAATAGAGACGTTGATGACACTTGAGTGGTTTCTGTCACCACCGGAGTAGGTGCAGGGGGCTGTGTTGAGACTGAGACGTCAATCTTATCATTTTTGGTGAATCCTTCTGCTTGAGCTACCAGGGTTGACAATCTGCTATGTCGAAAGGCGATGGTCGCAGACCGATGTTGAGCATAGCGACAGGGGCGACTTGACTTCGAGCAGCGACCACAGACAGGCTGAACTCCATCGCCTGTGGGGAATCAGCTCTATAGACCTGGCATAATCCCCGAGCTCACTGGGCCCTTACATCGCACCTTGCGAGATTTGCATGTCAGACTGCGTTGTCTGGGTCAGCATACATCCCTGCAGTCAAAAGACAACTTACCAGGTCTTCTTGCGCATTTTCCAGCATTCGGGAGGCGGCAGCAGTGAGGATGGTGGAAAGACATGCTCGGCCTTTTCTTCCTTTGCGGGGAAGTCTCAGACAGCCCTGGTTTGCTGCAATGTTCCCGATCAGGCAACTCGGCGCCGAGGGTGCAAGTATATCAGCTTCATCTGGCATCGAGCTGCGTGACAGAAGATTGAGGCAGGATACTACTTGCTATTTGGCTTCTGATATCAGCGCATCATGTACAAAGAGATTATTGTCGTGTTTAGTATTCTTATCGTTCTCAAGGCTGTCCTCGCCCCCATATACACATATCTTCGTGACTCCAAAGGTCTGAAGCGCTTCCCTGGAGTGTCAGTAGCTCCCATAACTGATCTCTGGGGAGTCTGGAAGCAATATCTTCGTACACGCACCGTGGCCGTCCATAAAGCACACCTCAAATATGGCAGCATTGTCCGAGTCGGGCCAACCCACCTCTCCTTTTCAACGCCTGAAGCAATCCGCGACATCTACGGCCACGGAACGCCAGCGCTGAAAGATGACTTTTACCAGACATTCAAGTCAACTCACCTCAACGTATCTGACGCTCAGGATAGAGACATTCACAGCATCAAACGAAAGCGATTTGCCATCGCCTTCTCCCAGAAACGTATCGTCGAGCTCGAGCCTGTGGTCCAAGACCACCTGAAGCGTGTCTTTCGCATACTGGACTCTTCCAACGGGGAGGAAGTGGACATGAAGCAGATAATGATGCACCTCATGTACAACCTCATCTTTGACACTTTCTTCCACCACGACCCCCACTTCATAGAGCGAAGCCGCACCAGTGTCACTATCAAAACACCGTCCGGGTCCCCATACGAAGGCGGGATTCACCAACTGCTCACTAGCGCCCTGCACATCTCCACCAGCCTCGGATGGGCACCGAAACTCAGGGCCATACTCAAGCATCTAACCTGCTGGCATCCAGGCTGGAAGCACGGTACCCAGCTGCAACACGTAACCACACACTTTGTGCGCGAACGAGTAAACATGGACATTGAGCGAGTGGACGCAGGTCTCCCGCCATTAGAAGATCTTATGACCACGCTCCTCTGGGACAGAAACCGCGAGCATCCTCTGTGTTTGGAGCTGGGTGAACTAGTGACAGAGGCCCAAAACCTCTTCAGTGCTGCCGGAGGAAACACAGAGATTGCCCTGACCAACATCATCTGGTACCTCGCTAGCAATCCACACGTAGTCCGGCGTCTACGTGCGGAACTTGCAGATGCACTTCTACCACACAATGATTCATCAAGCCCCATACCATATGACCTCGTCAAGAACCTTCCCTATCTCCGTGCCTGCATAGACGAAGGCCTACGTCTTCGTCCTTCCATCCCCGGTGGTCTTCCTCGCGTTGTCCCGAAGGGAGGTATGATGGTGTCTGGTGAGTGGTTAGACGAAGGCACCACCGTATCTGTATCCACGTATACCGTTCACCGTGATCCGGATATCTTCGGTAACGATTCAGAGCGCTATATTCCCGAGCGGTGGTTGCAGCCTGGGTCGCGTGATATGCAGCGCGGGTTTCTGGCTTTCTCGCAGGGAGGAAGGGGATGTCTGGGACGGAATATTGCGTATTTTCAGATGCAGTTGGTTGTTGCGGCGTTGGCCTGGAGATATGATCTTACCTTAAGGGAGGAAGGGTGGGAGTTGGAGACTATGGAGACGTTTAGTGCGCATACGGGGAGCTTGCCTGTTGTTGTCACGAGACGGGAGTAGATTACGATGTTTTGGTAGAGGAAGTATCAGTAATAGTAATTGGCAAGGTGTACTATCTGAAATTTGCGTTCTCATATATGTAATTAAATTGGGGTATGCCAATGTTACTGCGAAGCCTCCCTTAGGCTGGCTCAGTAACCCAGTTCTTTATATACCTAGTGTAGACTATTGACAGAGTATGTACATGCGTCCAATTCTGCCTCATATTCCGGCTTTCTCCCAGCTCCTGCTGGCAGAGCAGCTACTGCATTCATCCAATAGTTGGTTCGGGAATGCCAGCACACGGGGTCTCCAAAGTACTCATTGGCAGCAGACTCGTAACGGTCCCGTTGGCAGCAAACATCATCGCATACCCATCAGGATGATACGCAGGCCATCCCATATCTGGGAGCGCATTGACCGGATCCCGCATGAACGCAAGATAGAGATCCTGCCAGTGGGATGCTACGGCGGTCTCGAAAGGCGTAGCGGGTCCGCCATACTCCGAGTATGTGCCAAATAGCAAGGGGAGTTCGGAGCTGTGGTAAGCTCCTTCCCAAGGCCGAGGGGAAATGTTACTGAAGTTAGCCGTGTTGAAGTAGCGGAAGGAGAGGGATGAGGTATTGTAGCGAAGACTATATCATGAATAAACGATCAGTGTTGAGCTCAAAACGTGGGGTGGATAAACGCACTGCCCATTGTAGTTTGCCGGACAGAGGTGGGTGGTCACGGTCTCTTCGTGGACGTAGGTCATGTTTGGACCTTGTGGCCCAGCCCAAGCAACCAAAGAGGCTTCTTCATTGGCATTGGTGCCGAAAATAGCGGGCTCGATGGCAACACAATCAGCATAGAACGAGTATCAGGAACGGTAGCTGCTTACAAGCTTCGAGTAATTTCCTGCATAAGCCCTAGCAGTGTAGTCCTCAAATTTGGTCACATTGTCCACAATAGTTGTGAACTTCAGAGTAGGACCAGTCGAGTACAAGGTGTAGTTTTCGTAAAACCGAATGATGGAGTCTGCACTGACGTTTCTCATGCAAGCTAATTCTGCTCGAGGGGAGAGATCGCCGCAGCCCATGTGCTCAGCCACAAAGGTGAAGTTCGTATGCTCGACGTCCACACTGGAACCTGTAGCAAAGACACTGCCTGAATGCATGATCAGGCCAGACACAATGGGATCATCGGGCCAGGCGTAGTTGTAATAGTCCGTGCTGGCTGCTCCAGAACTCTGGCCCCAGAGAGTAATCTTGGATGGGTCTCCTCCAAAAGCAGCAATGTTATCTCGAACCCATTCAACGGCGAATCTTTGGTCAAGAAGTCCCAAGTTAAGGTTCTGCTGGGTCTCAGCCAGGCCTGCAGCGTTGGGAAAGCCGAAGATGTTGACCCGATAGCTAGAATTGCAAGTGATCAGTTGCAATGCCGAGAATGAGAGACATTCGTTGCCAAGTAAAAAAGGGGTCTAAGCACTGGACAAGAGAAATAGGACTGACTCACTTGATGGCAACGACAATATGAGACTGCGTCCTTTGGATCCAATTACTCGGATCAAAACCGTTCGTCAAGAGCCCTCCCTCGTAGAACCCTCCACCGAACATCCAGATCAACACTGGCAATGGCTCATCCGTCTCATTGACGGCATGCAATGGGCTCCAAACATTGAGAGTCAGGCAATCCTCTGATGTCGGTCCATATGGTTGTAGCCAAGGAGAGTCAAACGTGTACACAGATGGGTCTGTCTTTGTGGTCAACGGATATTGCGGGCAAGAAGGCCCGATCTTCGTGGCATCAATAGTTGCCTCTGCAGGCTTCGTCTGGGGAGGTGCAAATCGTAGCTCGTCCACAGGAGGTGCTGCAAAGGGAACCCCAAGGAACTGCGCAACATCCGGAGCTGAACCATTGATCATGCCATACAGCCGCCCAACGGTTGTATCGACAGTTAGACGAGATGCTGCCGCAGTCACTGCAGAAAGCTGAGCTGCAGCAACGAAGAAGCTGAAGGCTTTCACCCCCATCTTTAAGCTGCAGTTTCCACTGGTAGGTTCAATCGGGTCGACAGCAGAGAAGCAATGACCTCAACGCCACGTTGAAAAGTGACATACAGCCATACTAATACTTCTAAGTTCTTGATAGCATGATGCTTGATGGCTCACTCTTTTCCGAGGACGGCAAGCCAGTAGATTCTGCATTGGCCGCCAATGCGTCATTTGTGCCGTCAACTCCACATTTGCAGATGGGATCAGACGCGGAGAATCCCCGAAAACTGGGGAAGGGACTTCCAGGGTCTCCCGCATTGGTCCGGAGTGTGGATTCTAACTCCTCGAAGGAACAGTTCGGTAGGATTACTCCGACAGACGAGCAGGCGGAGTTCAAGCCTATTTCGACTTAGCAGACACCTCGTGTCGCTTACACGCCTATCCGTATAGCCGATGCACCAATACTCCGGTCGTTCTCGAGGCTATTTGTAGCCGGAAATGGATCTAGGGAAAAGAATTAAGCCGGTGTGAGGATTTCATCAAATTAGAATGCAAGCATGGTGCTCGTCGGTTGAACGTTGATTGTTGCAGTAAAGCAATCAGTTTCCCTGGCGGATTTCGTCTGCTTCGTTAGGAAGACGAGAACATATGAACATGAATATTGTTTTTGCTTACTAATAAATGGTGCATAACTATCATTAAATCGCTCTTTGGTCTTCGTGTCCTCACACCATCCCTTTATCGATCTATCACCCCTACGCAGTTCCCTTACTGCGAGTCAGTATCATGATTCAGCTTGAAAAAACCCCAGTCCGAAGGTAATTTGCTGATGACATTGATGAGACTTATGATGCCGAGTTTGCTACTGTTCATTGATCCCATTTGGTCTTCTCTTTACTTCGTCTACTTTTCTATAAGTAGTCTCTTTACAGCAATGCTCCCTCGTCATAGACACAATGTCGAAAATGAGTGCCCTAGCCGACTGGAAGCAGAGCCAGACGCAGTAAGTTCAATTCTATAATGTGTGATTCACTTCTTCCTTACCACTTCTACCTAGAAGACAGCTAGGCAATCAACAGTAGAAAGGAGTAACCTGCCCAAGGCTTATCCTCAGGAGATAACCTACATATGTGTTTCTAGACTGACAGAAGGAGGAGATTCCTCGAGTCTCAGCAAGATATCGGAAGCACGTCCAGGAGAAGTGATATATGTTACCAAAGGCAAAACCTTGGCTTGGGGAGGAACCGCTATTATTGAGCGATTGTCTTCTGGTGCCGTTATGAAGACACCTATTCCAAACCCATACTGTCCTCCTGAAGAAGAATACCACCGTCGTAATATGCGGCTTGATGCCAAGATTTGTGCAATGATAGGAGAACATCCATGTCTTCTCAAAATACTGAGTTGGGATCAAGAAACTTACTGCCTCACTATGGAATATTTGGAAAATGGGAATCTCAAAGAATGCATTCAACATAACATGCCAGATATAACCCTTCAACTTCGACTCCAATAGTGTAAACATGTTGCTAAAGCACTCAGTGCTCTCCATGCTCATCACATCATACACTGTGATCTTTCGCCAAGAAATTTCCTTCTCGACTCGAGCCTCAATGTCAAAATCGCTGGCTTTGGTGGCGCTTCACTATGTGGTTCAGAACCCTCAGCTACTCCGGCAACAAGGGTTCGACCTCCTGGCTATGACTGGAATATCCCTCCGGTCTTTGGAGACGACATTTTCGGTCTTGGGTCTCTAATTTACTTTATAATGACAGGCACTCATCCCTACAAGGACAATCTCAGTGATGAAGTCGAGAAGCTATACGAAGTTCAACAATTTCCTGATGTGTCTAATGTCTTATGTGTTTTGTGATCTCACAGTGTTGGCATGGACAGATCCATTCGGCCCAGGCTGTTCATGACGACGTTGCAGCCGTGAAAGTCGAGTATCTGCCATAATTTATATCCTCTAGGTCTAACAGCTTCATCGAGTGTCGTGCTCTGCGACTCTTTCATTTTGTGTTGGACATTGGCTTCGAGTGATCGTTTGGCCAAGGTGCTTTTCTTTCGGATAGGGGCAAGTCCGGTCAGTTGCTGCGTAGGTGGGACAACCTTTTCTATATAAGATACGCCTGACTCTGGTGCAAGAAGCAGGGCATTTTGTGTGGCGTGTAGTTGTAACGTGGACCTCACACATTTTCTTTGCGCGTCAGTATGGCTAGAATGTAGAATTATTAATACTCACCTTTGCTTGAAAGTGTTTCTCCTATGAAGAAGGAGTAAGACCTCAATTTGTATCTTCCTCCGGTGTGTATATTACATTATTGGGTTGATTGAGAGCTTTCTCTTTTATTTATAGGTGTCGATTAGCACCTCTCATTTGACGGAACCCACTGTATGTACCGTATCATGTCTGATTCTCGCATATATGGCTCCAACTGGGACTATACATTTTTCTTCGGTTACAGTTGCCTATTACTAGGATGCGAAACACCGGCTGGATCAATCCATCTCAGCCTGCCCAGGAAGTGCGCCTTTGTCGCTGCAGCAGGCAAGTGGGCTCGGGCTATGATTGTTAGGGGAGATTCCAGCAGCAATCCATTGGAAAGCCATCCATCGAAAATCCATCGAAAATCAATCCCGCCCCTTCCCTCATCTTTAATTTTACCCTTAATCAAACTTTTTTCTTAGCTTCAAAGACCCTATTTCGTCACGGGCGCACAATAAAGCCTGATGATATAACTTCATATTGGGCTAGGAAAATAAGGCATTCTATTCATACAAGTACTACAGTACTAAACCGTTCTCACTAGATCATACTACTACAACCAGAGTGGAGCTGTCAACAACTCAAAACGATGAACTGTCATACAATTGACGTGGGGTTTACGCTAGAATCATACACTCAGTACTAAGTGACGAGAAGCCACTGCAATGTGCATAAGCATTGTGTCTATGAGATCGCTCTACTTCTAATCACTCACTCGGCAAAGAAGGGATGAAAGATGGCGAGAATATCGGCAAACGGGAACCCCAGCCAAGACACAGAACAAACTGAACAAACAGCCGTGACTCAATCTTTTCGCCCTGCATCCATCTTCCCCATCCTATCTTCTCTTCGCCAAAAACTTTACAGGCTGATTTTGGCGTTCCATTTCTTGGAGAAAAGGTCCCAATGGCGTTGGGTTCTTCTAGAGATTCGATTGGTGCCGATCGGCAGCCAATCGAAATGCTATCCACGTCCGGAACCGTGAGCGAGAACTATGGACCTGATCAATGCGGTTCGGAGAATATAGTATCCAATGCACAAGATCTAGAAACTCCCCCACACGGACCTCAGTCCGATGAACCTGAGACTCCTGGACCTCGCAGTAATTGGAAGATCTTTGCAACTATGCTTGCCCTTTCGGTGTGTTTCTCTCTAGATTTTATTTTTGACACCCTGCTTATAAGATGTAGCTTGCGCTCTTTATTTCCGCACTTGATCAGACCATTGTGGCTACTGCTACACCTACAATCTCGTCCGATCTGCATTCAGCATCCGGTTATGTATGGATCGGAGGTGCCTATCTCCTCGCCAATGCCGCCAGTTCCAACATTTGGGCCAATCTGTCCGATATCTGGGGGCGAAAGCCTATCCTCCTCACAGCCGTTGCCCTATTCTTTGTAGCATCAATCATCTGCGCCAAAGCCAATGGTATGCCCATGCTGATTACCGGCCGTGGCATACAAGGTATAGCTGGTGGTGGTCTCATCCAGCTGATCACCATCACCATTTCTGACTTGTTCAGCGTCAGGTACTGCTCACACCTTTTATCTTTTTTGGTATGTAGCTGACATTGAATAGACTCCGCAGTCTGTTCCTCGGATTGATCGAGTTCATCTGGGCCATCGCTGGTGCCTTAGGGCCAATCGTGGGTGGGGCTTTCACCCAATCTGTTTCATGGAGGTGGATTTTTTGGATCAATCTTCCCGTCTGTGGAACGGCCTTTGTGCTGCTCTATGTGTTCCTGGATCTACACAATCCAAGGACCCCCGTCCTGGCCGGTATCAAGGCCGTGGATTGGTGGGGGAGCTTCTCTATGCTCGCACTCATCATCCTACTTCTACTAGGTTTAGACTTTGGCGGCGCCACATTCCCCTGGGGCTCCCCCAAGGTAATCTGCCTGATCGTCTTCGGCTGTCTAATGTCGTTCGCCTTCATCTACAGTGAGAAGAAGCTAGCCAAATACCCCCTCATGCCCCTTGGCGTATTCAGGAACCGGTCCAACGTCGCCTGCTTCCTAGTCGACTTCACACATGGCTTTGTACGACCCTCCACCAACCTCCTCCCATCAATCACACTGCTAACCCTTCCCCCCCCCCTTCCTCCCCACCAGGCCTACCTCGGAGCAGAATACTACCTCCCACTCTACTTCCAATCCGCCAAAGAATCCACTCCATTCCGCTCCGGCGTCCTAATCCTCCCCTTCGTCCTAACCGAAGCAGCATTCAGTCTCTTCTCTGGCCTCCTCATCCACCGCACAGGTCGCTACCTCGAAATCATCTGGGCCGGCACCGCCCTCGTAGTTCTCGGAACCGGTCTCTTCACCAACTACAGCGCCACCTCTTCTCTCGGGAAAATCGTCGGCTACCAAATCACCGCCGGCATGGGCTGCGGAATGCTCTTCTTCCCGCCTCTCCTCGCCCTCCAAAGCAACGTCACCCAAGCCAACACCGCCAGCGCAACCGCCACCTTCGGCTTCATCCGCAACGTCGCAATGGCCATGTCCGTAGTGCTCGGGGGTGTGGTGTTCCAGAACAGCATGGACATGCGACAAGACGGTCTCAAGGCTGCGGGGCTGTCCTCGTCGCTATTGGCTGAGTTCTCTGGCACGGAGGCGGCAGCTAATGTTGATGCCGTCCGCGCGGTCCAGGATCCGACTCAGCGACACGCTGTGGCGGATGCATATGCGTGGAGTCTTCGTAATATGTGGATTATGTATGCTTGTCTCGCTGCTTGTGGGTTCGTTGCTAGTGTGTTTATCACTCGTCAGCATCTTAGCGAGGAGCATGTGGAGACGAAGACGGGGCTGAAGGAGAAGCAACCCGTGTTGGAGCAGTAGATCATTTCCTTGCATTAGGGATGTTTTTGTGTTTTGTGGTTCGTTAGTCAGGATGATTTTTTTTCCCCTGGCAATAAATACCTATTGTCCCTTGGAATAAATCAAAAGTTTATGCCGATTTTTTACTTTATATACCATCCATCATACCGTTTATCTGGCAGTTGATACGATACAATCAATAGCTGAAGTTTATGTACATACATACGAAGATATACCAATTACTGCCCATTTGTATCTGAAAAATCCTCTAGACAGCAAAACTCCTGGACTGTGTCATATAAACCTTCATCTCATATGTAATTCAGAAAGTATGCGACGATGCTTTGGCAGACATATCTTCATCTAATTATTTACACTATATATACAAAACTAACGCCAATTATGGTATCATTAACCGAGCATCAACCATACCATCAAGCCAATCCAACCCCCAGCAAAAGCAACTGTCACGATGCCCGCTCCGGCGCGGTCTCCCGTGGTGATCGTGCTGAGAATGGTCTCGTCATCGGAGCTGTCATCGGTTCCGGCCGACGGGTCGCTGGTGCTGTTGCCTCCCGTGCTGGAAGTCAGCGGTGCAGACGAGGAGTTGAAGGCGATCATATTCGCCGAGAAGACGCTGGTAACGCTCATCTGTTCCTCGAGTCCGCTCCAGCCATCCCAGGTACTGTTCCACCATCGCACGCCGCAGGTGTTGTTACCATACCCGGTGCAAGTCGCGGCAGCGCCCTTGGCAGATCCTTGCAGCTTGGGCAGGATTCTGTTGTAGGTGGACGGAACCAGTAGGGCAGTGTAGGCGAGCCAGGCAGACACGAGACCCTTGAAGATGATTTCGTTGTCGTTACACACCTCTAACGGTTCACATAGAATCTCCGTTAGGATTTCACCGCCGTGGCTTTCCGGGAAGAACTTGTCCAACGTGCGATTCAGCAGGCCTTCGACGGCGTTCAGCCATTTGGTGCTGGTACCGTTGGTCTGTGATAGGTTAGGAGTTGATCGTGTCTCATTGCTGTGGGCTGACCTACGTAATTATACATGTACGCAGCTCCTCCAAGATAAGCGCCGTAGTTATAGCTCCACTGGTTATCACCCTGGCTACTGCAGTCGTTTGTCGTCGATGTCGAGTCAGCGACGTTCCAGGTTGAGTTGCTCAACAGCGGCGTCGTGGTCGACCAGTCGTAGATGCGCTCTGCCCAGTCATAGTAGGTCTGGTTGCTAGTATAGCGCGCCAGCCGAGCCGACAGTTGAAACAAACCGCCGTTGGAAATGGCGTTTTTCATGGTATAACCGGATTCGTAGGTGTAAATCTGCCACCGCATACCCCCGTCGCAGGTAGAATTATCCCAGCGGGCGACCTGGGTATTGAAGACACCCTGCGCCAGTGAAAGCCAGGAGTATCCATCGCTAGAGTCGGGAAAGTTCAGTTCGGCACCAGTCATAGCGGCCAAACCCCAGAACATTTGATCGTCGTTACCCTGGATGCCTTTATTAGTTGGAGAAGGGGCAGTCATTAGGCGAGGAACTCACGATGTAGCTACTCCAGTTCGCCGGCATGAAATCGCAATCGCCCGACTGCCACTGCATGCCCTGGATGACTTCCTTGTTGTAGGTGGAATCCCCCGTGTAGTGATAGTATTGCATGAGCGTCATGAACATGGCACCACCTTCCCACCAAGTATTGGGGATCTTGCCCGGAATTTCGCCAGATTCATTTCCTTTGTAATGCTTCATCATGCCGTAGGCGGCGGTTGATGCTGCATTCTTAACCGAATCTGTGAACGAGAGCGGTTAGAATCATCTGCGTTTGGATTGCGAGGATTGAGCCAGCCATCAACCATATATCAGGCCCGATTAGCTACCACGGATTGAGAATCACATACCCTCGCTGCTGATATCAAGACTGATACCTTGGACCCCAAGTACCGCCAGGGCCAGAACCAGCACACATCGTAGCCATTGATTCCCCGCCATTGGAAAGAAGATCACGACGGCACAATCACAGGATTTCGATACAAGATAAGGAACGGAAACCCGAAAGCGAACAGGAGGCAAGGACTAGCGAACTGGGGAAGGCATTTCAACGCCTTTGACTGGATCGGAACTGGTGGGCAAAGAGTTCACCTTATGAGACTGGATTGGCGCCAACAAAAAAGTGACTGCCTAAGCCGGAGTCGTCACCCTCCGCACCAGCGTACGTCAACCAACAATCTGCCATTTCTTGTCCGAGGAAATTTTGCATGCCTTAAGTCCGACCTCAATCCAGCTAAGGCTAGCTCGAAATTCTTTTTCCGGTACCTGGTGCGTCACACTATTAATCCAAGAAATATAAGGAGACCAGAATCCCGGTGAGGACCGAGTTTCAGTAGTGTGTTTTCCAGACTATCAATTGGCAGCTGTTGAGTATACTCATTTTGATTGCATAAATCCAGGGGGAGAATCCACTCGCTTTTTCCCAAAGCATTGGACAAGCCTGCGCCAAGGAAGATGCCCAGCCAAACTCGCATCCAAAATCCGAACTACTGACGAGTCTCTGTGGAGCCCAAGCGAAGCGCGATAACGCTTTCAGTCTTTAAGACCGGGAGATTCCACTGCCGATCCACTCGTACCGTGAAGTCGGTTTTACTCGTCGGTTTTTCGGCTTTTTTGCTAGCCCCGATGGATCGCCCCGATTAGTCAGAGGCTTAGCCTCACGTGGCAGTTCTTTGGCTGACTCAGCTGATCCTGCATGTCTAAAGGAAACTGACGGATCCTAGCAAATTATTCACGAGAATAAAGCATCAAAGGTAAGGAGTTGATGGTTTCGCTATCAGGAAGACAAATCGGTGTGCTTGTGCGTTAAGGTGATGGTGAAGAACTCCAGTACTGTTTCAACGCTTCGTCTGCCAGCATCAATTGGATGGCTTGTAGAGTAGTGTGCATAGTACTATCTCTGAATAAATATCTGGAGCTAAACACTGCTGCTGGATTGCGTGTATTCTGAGATCTATCACACACTTGATGTGATCACGAATTGTATTGCTCTGAGTTCAATTGTGAAACCACTGAGAAAATATTCAGTGACCGTATGAGAACATAAATAATAACAGTGTATAAGCGAAGCCGAAGAGGTGAAGACAGACGGAAGAAGGAGAAGATATCAGTAGAGGAACCTGATCACCTGACCTTGTAGATAGGTCACATTTGGAAGTTGATCAACCATTGAGACCGGGACAATTCAAGAGATAATGCGGTCATCGAATGGCACTTGTTAACCTTTCAAACGCCCGTCATCCCTTGCATTGCGACCCGCATCTCAATGTGCCAGAATGCAAGTGACGGGCCCGGGAAGAGTGCTAAACTTCCGGTAAGGAGGAAGAACTACTTCCAAAAATACATCTCCCAGAACAAGAATTGGGATCTCTCCCATGTTCCACAAATGATTTTATCATTGATAAAAGACCACTTCTAAAGCAGAGCAACGTTGATCTACTCCTCTTCTCCAACCCAATCAATCTGACGTCGGGCCCTTCCGACCGCCGATCTTAGCGTCGATACTATGACGGCGACTCCCGATGCCCTTCTGGGGTACTTAGATAACAAATCATCACCTTATCCCGCCCTTCTGTTCTCTCATTCCCCATCTTTCAAACCACTCAATTCAGCAGTTCGGGCAGGTCCCCCTACCTTCAATGTACATGATTTCTTCTTGCAAATAACCCGAATAAGCACATATACCTCCAACACAACAACAATGCCACCACCGACCCTCACCACCAGTCCCCTCCTCAACCTCACCCCCGCTCCCCTCACCCCAGAGGCCTTCTCCGACTTCGGCACAGCCATATCATCTCCCCTAGCTCGCAACATCACCACTCCTCCACCAGAAAGTACCCTGAAGACGCTATCGCCTGTCCCCGTCCTCGCGAATCAAGCCTCCGCCCTGAAGTACAGCCCGATCGGTCCAATGACTGATAATTACTCCACCGCTCCGAGCGGCCAGCCCTCTTCCGCCCGCATGACGATGTTCTCGTGCTTTCCGCGCAAACTCCGCACTGTCGCCCATAAAAACGTGAATGCGTTTGATGTGCGCATTCTGGAAAGACATCCCTACACTACGCAGACTTTCACCCCGATTGATCTGTCGAGTCAGGTGAAGACAACAGGCGCGGGAGGTGAGGTGGAGGAGGAGCCGTTCTACTTGGTTATTGTGGCGCCTTCGTTGAAGGGCACTACGGCTACTGCGAGGACGGATGATGGGAAGACTGTAAGCGTGGTGGATCCGCCGGATTTGAGTCGTTTGAGGGCCTTTGTGGCTAGGGGTGGTCAGGCTGTTACATATGGGGCGGGAACGTGGCATGCGCCTATGGTGGTTATTGGGAAGAGGAGGGTGGATTTTGTGGTGGTGCAGTTTATGAATGGGGTTGGGGATGAGGATTGTCAGGAGGTGAGGTTTGGGGAGGGCATCGCTGTAGAAGTATCGGGCGAGGGAACTAAGAAGGCTCTGGCGAAGCTTTGAGAGCGGTTATGGTAAGAGTTGGAAGCCTCTGCGGGGGATATGGTTCATTGTACCTTCTTATCAAAATGGCTATTGTACATAGATTGTGAATGATATGAGATTACTGATGGCATGGACAGTTTCAGGCTCCGTTTGCTGTATGTTTTGGTGCCGCCTTCTCTTCCCATTGTGGACTGTTGTTGTGGTTAGAGAATCGCTGACGCACGCTCTTTGCCATTTCAATGGCCTCCCTGGGTAGTCCGGCCAACTGAGCGACTTTCAATGCATGCGACTCGCGGTTCACACCTTTGCGTAGTCGATGGACGAATGAGAATGATCCAGAAGCGGATTCTTTGACATCGGTGCAGTATCTGCCGAGGGTATCAAAGTCGCGGGTCATGTCGGCAAGGACATGGAAATGAGTCGCAAACAGTGTCCGGCATTTGTTGTGATAATGCAGGTGATGCAAGCATGCAAAACTGACGGCAGTTCCGTCTTCTGGCGTGGTCCCCCGGCCGACCTCGTCCATGATGACAAACGAGCGCGAGGTTGCTTGTTTGAGAATAGCTGCTGTTTCCAGCATCTCCACCATGAATGTGGACTGGTCTCGGAACAGATCATCAGCGGCTCCGATGCGACTGAAGATCTGGTCAACCAAGCCAATCTCTGCGTACGCCGCAGGGACAAATGACCCGACCTGGGCTAGTATAGTGATGAGTGCGTTTTGTCGCAGAAATGTGCTTTTACCTGCCATGTTGGGACCGGTCACAAGCCATATACGTTCTGGGCCTCCGAGAAAGCAATCATTGCTGACAAACCGTCGGCCTTGCTCCTCAAGTCCAAGCTTGACTGTAGGATGACGCCCGCCCACAATCTTGTGGCTTGTGCCTTCGTTGAGGATCGGACGCACTAATTGCTGCTCCTGTGCCAATGTGGCAAATGAGCATGCCACGTCGAGTTCGTCCATAACGGCTGCATTGCGTCGAATTTTAACAAGATTGAGGATGACCTCCCGACGCAGATGCTCAAAGATCACTTGTTCCTCTTGACGAATTTGAGCCCTCACTTGATCCATCTGACCGCCTAGCTCTGTCCATGCTGGTAAGTAGAATGACCTCGTCGACTTGGTGGCCGAAACATTTCGTGTTACTCCAAGTTCCTCCAATGATTCTTGGGTGATTTTAGCCCCCTTGACATGGCATATGTGACCTAATCCCGGAGTCCACTTGAGTGTCAGTGCAGATGAACCTACCGACTCGCGAAGACGCTGTGTTAGCTCTGATTTTGCTGTATGTAATTGCTCTAACTCCTGATGGAGTTCACTTAAAGCTTGGCTTGCATCTCGTCTCATGATCCAGGTATCGGCAATCGTCCCCTCATCCGCAGCTGCGTTAGACCGATCACTACTTTTGGTCTTGACTTTTTTCGGCAGTGCAGCCATGTCCTCTGGAATACCCTCATTCAGGGTGACAGACTGTGCTAGAAGTGCTGCTTCTGCAGCTGTGTCGTCTTCAATGCGCTGCTTCTGCAGCAGACCCTCCTCGTCAATTGCTGCCAGGATTTTGTCAGCTAAGACTGTAGGCCCATCCATGTAGATTCGGTCGACCATAATTTCAATGCTGCGCTTGGTTTGACTATCAACCTCGCTATGCCACTTCCTTGATAGAACTTGTCGGACTTCTTTGGAGGCTTCAATTGCCTTCGAAAGACAAATCAAATCATCAGGGTCACCCCGACCAAGTGTAAATTTCTGAACTAGACGTTGGGCATCATAACTGCGTTTGAGAAATTGGATCACGCTGTCATGCAGATCACGGTCTTCGATGAATATCGAAACAAGGTCAAGCCGTTCGTTGATTATCGATAGAGAAGTGGAAGGCGACGCTGCCACAATGTTAGACTTTGGGGATTGGTTAAGGGAAATTATTAGGCATACTTAAACGGTCTCTCAGTAAACGTGCTCCACTCTTGGTAGAAGTCCGCCGCACTGCATGAAGTAGGCTTCCTTTCCCAAAGCCATCACGGGCAGTCTCCAGTATTTCTAGACCCCTCAAGCTATTCCGGTCAATGCTCATTGACTCGTCCAAATGTCGGCGACGAGGAGGCTGAAGCTTCATATTTAAGCCCTGCAATTGAACCCGGATATACTCCAAGAGACTATACCCTGCGGCAACTTCTTCACGCGTAAATGTTTCTGCGGCGGCGTCTGACACAGGGGCTTCAAGCATAGCCTCCCATCGGGCCATGGGCGCAACCTTTTTCGGAAATTGGAAGAAAGTCATTAATCGTTGGTCGTGTCCAATCAATAACTGCAGCTCCTGTCCGACTACATCCTGGAGACCTTGGTCCACGAGTATCTCTCGGGCGCCAATCCTGGCGATAGCAGACGGTAGCATCTGTGCTGTAGTTACTTGCGTAAAGAAGTCGCCTGTGGAGAGGTCCAACCAGGACAAGCCTACATTTTGGGATGCGGATAATAGGACGTGCTGTTGCGAGG